TCATATAACTCATTGATTTCTCTATATGCGCGGAACGGGGATTTGCTTCAATCAAAGATTTTTTTCAAGAGAATGCCACAATGGGATGTTGTCTCTTGGACGGCTCTTGCGAGTGGGTTTGCCGTTCATGGGGAAATCAAAGACGCGGACGAGATCTTTCAATCCATGCCCGAGAAAAATGTGGTGAGTTGGAATTCTCTTGTGACTGCTCTTCACAGGCGGGGGAATCTGGAGCAAGCCGAGACCACGTTTGAATCCATGGCCGAGAAGACAATCTCATCGTGGAACTCGATGATCACAGGCTACGCTTCCAACGGCGAGCTCGAGGAAGCCATGAAAATTTTCCATTCGATGCCCAGGAGAAACGCCATCTCTTGGAACTCCCTCTTAGCAGCCTGTGCAAGGGATACTAAATGCTCGAGCGATGAAGCTGAAAAACTTTTCCACGGAATGCCAGGAAGAACGATGGTTTCCTTCAACACCATGATAGCTGTGTTCTCGCAAAATGGAAATCTCGATCTGGCGAGGAAAGCCTTTGATGATGTTCCGGAAAAGAACCTTATCTCCTGGACAGTTCTCAGCGCTGGATTTGCCCAGCACGGCCGAGCAGATAATGCCATGAATCTCTTCAAACAAATGGACGTCGAAGGCTTAGAACCTGATGAGATTTGTTTCCTCACCGTTTTTCTTGCATGCAGCCATGCAGGAAAGCTGAGCGAGAGCTTCCTGTTCTTTCTGGCTATGGTGGACGACTACCAACTTTTGCCAATAGCAGAGCACTATTTCTGCTTGATAGATGTTTTGGCACGAAATGGAAGGCTGGACGAGGCCGAGGACTTGATCCAAAGCCTGCCAAATCGAGAGAACAATGTCCAGTGGATGACTCTTTTGGGGGCTTGCAAGACACAGATTGACATTGGTCGAGCAAATCGAGCTGCTGGACTTGTCATCAACTATGCTCCAAAGGTTTCTTCTGCTGGTTACATTCTTTTGTCCCAAGTTTATGCTTTAACTGGTATTAGCTTAGGAGTAAATTCTAAGTAAATTTCATTTATATATTATAAATTTAAAACATCTTATTTAATGCTAAAACTCGCACACCTGATAAACTGCGATATAATACAAGGTCTCCATCATCTTGAAGAGCTAACACAGAAGGTTGTTCACAAGGTTGAGGTGTACAATATTTATTAATAGTAAATAATGGTATTCCATTTGTTTGATACAATACTAAATTACCATCTGTTTGAAGGTAAAAAATGCAACCATATTGCCCATGGTGGCCTGTGTTACTTGTCCAATATTGATTATGATTTAAAAGATCCACTAAAATAAGTTCACAATTGTGTAATAGAGAAAATTCAAATCTTCTATTAGCTGAAAGTTTTTTAGAGCCAGGGAACATTTTTGCAAACCCAAAATAATCTTCACCACTAACCATACTTGAGCTGTCAACTGAACAATCTTGGAAATCTAAAATGGAGATATTAGCCTTTCCATGTTGCAAGCCTGTTATATTTTTAATATATGATGTGTTCATATTTGTGACCGTAGGAATCTTTGATCCATATTCAAGATAGTAAAGAAGCATAAAATTTGCATTGATAATTACCATAGCGTCATAACCACCCCATTGTGTCTTATCTTTTAAGACATGATAAATGGGAAACAAACCAGTTTTAACATCTTCTCCTGATAATCCATTAGAAACATCATACTGACCACTACAATAACCTTCATCATTTACAGGATTGAGCAACCATGCAGCCAATAAAAGTCGATATGATCCAATTACATTAAAAAGTGCATATGCACGGCCATAAGGATAACTTAACTCGGAGTTAATGGTATCAAACACCTGATCAAGTGTAGATAAAACAACATCTCGTGGATAACCTTCTGGGAGCACATTTGGGTGCTCAACATGCTCAAGTTTTGCATGTAAGCAAATAAGTAAACAGGAAGATAAGAAAAATATCATTATTGAGTTCATGA